AGCGCCGTGAGCGAAGATCGAGGCTCCTTTCCCCCGGCTCAAGCGGCGCCATGGGGATCCAGGGCCTGCTGCAGTTCATCAAGGAGGCTGCCGAGCCTTCCCACGTGAAGAAGTACAAGGGGCTGGCGGTGGCTGTGGACACCTACTGCTGGCTGCACAAAGGCGCCTATGCGTGCGCGGAAAAGCTGGCCCGAGGAGAACCCACGGATCTGTAAGTCTTCATTATGTCCCGATCCCGGCCCTCTTACAAGTTAAAGTTTTGTTGGCTTGATGTTTCTTGACTAAAAACTTGAGTTTATAATTGTTTGTCATAATAAAACTGAGTATGTGACAGTTTCGCTTCTTAACTGTTGCTTCTGAATTCTCAGTCCCGCTAGTACTCTTTTGAAATGAAAAGTTTGGCCATAAGTAAACAGTTTTCCAACTGTGCGAAATACATATTCAAGTACACATGAGGGAAAAAACTCTCTAAAATATTTTTTGTTAAAATACCGATGACTGTGTGAGTTAGCTTTTTTCCTAGAGTGTCTAGATAATTATCTAAGATAATTTCATTCTATCGGATCTATCGGATGAAATTCTGTACACGCAATTCATATGTTTCAAATGTATTATTATTATTTTCAGGCACCCTTTTTGTATGCAACGATACTTTGTAATTACTGCTGTGACAAAGATTGTAATGATACTGAGGAATTATGAGAGATGGGTTGTGCTCTGAATAACGTGTAAGATTTTTTGCATCCTGTATTAAATTTTTAGTTAGAGTAGCTTTTCTAGTGTAACATGGATTTTTCATTTACACAGTTATATTTCTAAGGAAGGGAAATGAGCAAAAGTTGTGGTCATATTTCAGGTTCAACTCCGGAGCTTGGATTAGGTTTGGTGTAAGTTCTTGTCCATCTCTGAAAAACTGGGTTAAACTCATGTTTTAGATTGGATACAGTTTTAAATCACGGAATTGGTAAGGTTGGAAGGGACCACTGGATGTCATCTGGTCCCACCTCCTGCTCATGCAGGGTCCCCTAAAACCCTTAGTCGGAATTGTGTCCAGATGGTTTTTAAATATCTCCAGAGAAGTAAGAGATTCTAAAACTTCTCTGGGCAACCTGTTCCAGTGCTAGGTCATTTGCAAGTGAAGTATATCCAAGTAGGAATTCCTGTGTTTTGGTTTCTGCTCATTGCCTCTTGTCCCATTGTTTGGCACCAAGAGAAGACCTTGGCTTCATCAAATGTTTGATTGGAGGCAAGAGAGAGTCAATGCTTTGCAAATGGGTTCAAATCTTTACTCCTGCTTCCGTTGACTTGAAGAACTGTGGAGTTTCATCCAACCTTGCTACCTGCCTTTGAAGGTAGTGGAGGTCCCTCGGAGTCCTGAGAATGGGATACACTTCAGTTGAAGAAAAAATTGTCTGTCAGGAGAGACATTCATAGTCATAGGAAACTTTGGAATGGTTGAATTTAAATACATAAATATTTTATGAGCAAATCTTGTTTCCATGCACGTATCACCCTAGACTGGCACTTTAACTATAGTTAATCGTCCTTTCACACTTTAACATTCATCTGTATTATATAACTAAAGTGCTCATATTTCAAAAATCATAGTTATTTTTCATTAGTTCTAAATTCAGTTTCTTTAATCCTTACGTTCTAAATGCTTCTAAGTCCCACATTCCTTCTCCTGCTGAAAAGGTTACTCTTTGTTTTAATCAGTGTCCTCAAAATAAAAAACCTTAATTTTTTTCCATTGGGGATCACTGTAATGCACTTGGTGTTAAAGCTATTATGCTTTAGTTCTGTGCTACTGATATAAAATGATCTTAATACAGAACTGTAGAAATAACAAGCAAGGAGATAAGAGATCTGAGAGAATAAATAACGTCTGGGATTCCCAACAAATATTTTTCCAAGGGATGGGTTTGGAAGGCAGTGGAGGATTACCTCCTGGCCCATACACCATTTTCACAGTTAGTACAGATTGGGGAACTTTTCTGACTTCTGAAATTTTTTCAGTTCTGTACCTGTATTTTTACTTTGGGAAGATAGGTTTGTATGTCTGTCCATAACATGTATCCACTGTCTGGAGGGTAGAGTGGATAGTTCTACAAAGAGAGATTTAATAACTTCCAGATCTACAAAAGTGCATTTACTCTGCCTTTCCAGGGAAAGGTCGTGTACTGTGCTTGTTTGCCTCCTGTTTCCCTGGCCATTATGAATAGAGTTGCTGAAACTAAAAAGATATAATCCATGTTTTAATTTATCCAAGTTTTTATCAGTGCTGAATCCCAGTGTTGCGAAATCAAACTGAATTGTACTTGAGTTCTTATTTTGTCTAGAGAGAGGAGCAGTCAGTCCAATTCTGAGTTGGGAGGTGGACTGTTTCTCTTGCTAATAAAAAGACATTTTTGTGATGTTGGGGAAATATACAACCTATATTTCCCCAACATCACAAAAATTACTTTTTAAGATCCTTACATCACAAAAATTACTTTTTAAGATCCTCAAACAATTGTTGTCATAAACTTGCAATTCTCCTTTTCTACAGACAGATAACATGCAATAGACCTGTAGTTGACAACAAAGTTTATCTTTCTGTTCTTACTTTTGTTGTTGTCGATACAGTTATGTAGCTTTCTGTATGAAACTTGTTGAGATGCTACTTTCATTTGGAATTAAACCAATTTTGGTATTTGATGGATGCACCCTACCCTCTAAGAAGGAAGTGGAAAAGGCCCGACGAGAGTAAGTACTGAACTGTATTAATTTGCAAGCAAAGCAGTGTGTTTATCACTACAGTTAATTTTCAAAGTCAAAAACCCTCAAACTGCAGCTAGATAGTAAGGTCTGGTAAACTTCCCTGCAGTGTAGTGTAGTCATTTCATTTACATCTAAAATTAAACTTCTTAGAGGTTTTATTCCAAAAATAGAAATGCACTTTGTAAATGAAAGCCATTTGATAGAGGAAGGAAGTAAACCTCTGAGCATTACTTCCTGTAATGTATTAGAGGCTTTTAGTTTGCCTGCCCTTGTGATCTCTGGGCAAAAATGTTTCTTCCCAACATAATTTTATTTAAAAATAATACCACCTTCCTCATCTTTCTCTAAAATAAGATAAACTTGTATCAGGTTTGAGTTCTGGTCACTAGAAATGTGACTTCTCACTGAAGCTGTGAGAATTTTTCATTAGTGGTTGTTTATAAATTCCCATGAGACATATGCTCCCTTCAGCGTGGAGTGAACAATTTCTGGTGTTTGAAATTAAGTAAATTATTCTTTCTGTCCTCTAAACCAATAAGTATCTAATGTCAGATACTCACGAATTTTATTAAATCTATTTTAGTGCAAACTGAGAGTGGGTGCATTTCTTCTGTCATGCTGCTGATTTCAGTTCCTGGTTAGTCACTGTTTTCTGAGGAAATATTATAACTTTCAACATGCCAATCTAGTTATCCTTGTCAATAGAATGACTTAGTTATTCTTATGTTTTAAAAAATTACTCAATAGAGCAGATTTGGGTAGTGTTCCAATTCCTTCCCCCCCCCCCCCCCCTTTGCTACCTGCCTCTCTTAGTCCTCTCTGCTGTTTGTTCTTTGAAATGAAAAATAATCTGAGGTTGGTGGATATTTCTGTCTATCTTTTAGGAAGCGTCAAGCCAGTCTTCTGAAGGGGAAACAATTGTTGCAGGAAGGGAAACTGTCAGAAGCCAGGGAATGTTTTGGGCGCAGTGTAAATATTACCCATGCTATGGCTCATGAAGTTATTAAAGTAAGTTGTCAGTACTGTTGATAATGCCAGTTTAAAAAAAAAATGCAGTAGGTAGTGTGTCTTAGTCTGCATTTGTATGGCTACATCACTACCTTTTCTATGTAGGCAAGAAAAACGCTCCCTGCTTCTTAATCTCTAATTGTTTATATACTGCTGGATTGTGTTAAGCACAGTTAACAAACTTTAACTTCGCTTCTAGTTTATTATACCCAGTTGTATAAACAATAACAATGTCAGTTGAAATACAACTCTTCTTACTGCTATGAACTGAATTTGATAACACCTCAGTTTTGCTTTTGATGCACAAAACCTAATCACAATTATTATTATTTTATATTTTTCCCCTCAGGTAGTTTCTGAGCACAGACTGCAGAAAAAAATTTGGCTGCCTAAAAACTGTTCTAGTTGCTTTTTGCTATGCTTCCACTGCAGTCATAAGATCTTTATCAAAACAGTATCAAGTTTATTCTGGTGGTGTTTTCCTCTGTCCAGAGTATAACTTGGGTGAGTTTGAAGCTGGCATCTGTGGTCAGATGCAGTGACCGTGGTGTTACAGGCCAACACAGGAAAGGCTGATTTTGTGAACTAGTCTATATAGATCTATACTGCTTGAAACTTGAGTTTTTGAATATGAAATATCAGGCTCTAACGGGGCAGGATGGGTGTGTGATTTAAAATGATCACGGTTTTGGCTTTTTAACATAGAGGTTCTTATGCTTTCAGATCTCTTAAGGTAATTACTGCAAATTGATGCAAAGTACTTGTATGCTTCTTGTTTACATACAGGCTGCACGAGCCCGGGGAGTTGATTGCATTGTTGCTCCTTATGAAGCTGACGCGCAGTTGGCTTATCTTAATAAGATTGGCATGGTTCAAGCTATAATTACGGAAGACTCTGATCTTTTAGCTTTTGGATGTAAAAAGGTATGGAAGGAAACACTAACAGCTTTAACCTCTTGCTGAGATCTTAAAAGCGGAGTCTGAAGTTCCCAAATATGTTTGTGTGGATTTACTCTTCTGCAGTAAATGTGGGAAGACATGAGAATAGCACTTTGCCTCCATTGTTTCCAACAAGTGCAAGGAACTATCTTATATGGGTGAAAAATGTTGTTTTCATTTCCTCTTAATTTTCAGGTGTTTCTGAAAATTGACAAGTTCGGAAATGGACTAGAAATAGATCAAGCTCGACTAGGGAACTGCAAACAGCTTGGAAACGTATTTACAGAAGAGAAATTCCGCTATATGTGTATTCTTTCTGGTTGTGACTACCTCGCATCAATTTATGGAATTGGGTTAGCTAAAGCATGCAAGTTATTAAAATTAGCCAACAATCCGGATATTATAAAGGTAAATTTGGTTTTGACTTTCTTTTTTTTTTTTTTTTGTAAGGCTCTGCATCTCCCCCCCCCCCCCCCATTACCTGTGTGGGAGAGGGGCAGGGATTGGAAATCTCATTTGATTACTTGCATATGAATATGGACATTTATATATTAAAAACAGTATGGAAGAAAAGATTGGAATAAGGGTGGGTGGGTTTTTTTTTCTTGTCCAGTGTATGAAATGAAAACAATCTAGTATTAGGAAATACAGAGGCTAAAGGCTAAAAGAGTGGGAATAACTTCTGTGTAGGTAGTAAGGAAGTAGAGAGGTTTTTAAGAGCTAATAATAAGAATACCTTATGGGTCTGTCCTGAAGGCAAGTAAATCTAACCCAGAAAAGCATTTAAATATGCAGTCTGATTAACTTGGTGTGTTATCTTATTTCTTAAGTTACTTGTGTATTTAAGTGTATTTTGGGTTTTTTTTCTCTCACAGGCTGTACACAAAGAACTATGATTTTTATTTTTAAAATGGTTTGTATCATGTAAAGCAGGTATCAAAGCAACTAGTTTGGCTTTTGTGGAAGTACAAAGGCAACTTTGAACTTTTCCCATATAAATGATTATTTCCTTTCATGTATCCCTGAGCAAAATGTCAGGGTTTAATCTGATTAGTATTGCTTTTTTTCTCTTCTACAAACACCCATGCATTGCTTAGGTGTCCTGATAACATGATTAATAAAGTCAGATATGCATTAGTTTAAGATAACATACCGTAAGGAGACACTCTGTCTTTCTAATCTCATTTTGTACTTCTTTACTGAACAAGAAGCATTTATAAACAGTTGCATTGTGTTACTTATATGATTGTAAACAACTTGAGTAGGAAAGCAATGTACAAAACTTTGTTTTTTTTCCTTCCCTTCTTTAGTCTGCTTGTTGTAACAGGACATGCATTCTATGTTTAATTGCAAGCAAAGATACTTTATAATCGACATGTATTTAACTGTTTGTGTGAACTGTTTAAATAAAGCAGTTGAGCAATTTCTTTTTTGTTACAGGTTATTAAGAAAATGGGGCAGTACTTGAAGATGAATATAACAGTACCAGAAGAATATATACAGGGTTTTACACGAGCCAATAATACCTTCCTTTATCAGTTAGTTTTTGACCCTCTCAACAGAAAATTGGTTCCTCTTAATGCATATGGAGATGACATTGATCCAGAAACACTAAGTTATGCAGGACGGTATCCTTTGTGTTGAAACAGCAGAATGGGATAGAAGGGTGAGAAGATGTGGTGTCCTATACTTCTTGCATCAGTGGTGTACTTAGATTTTTTTTTTTTTTTTGATTGCACTCCTACTGTTTACTTAAGCCTGGCTTTTCTGCCATTCTTAAAATTTGGGGGAAAGGGGAGCGTTCTTCTTTTCTCCTTTACTCTCATTTTAATGAATTAAAAAAAAGTGCTTGGGGGGTAACTGACCTATCATTGATACATCATTTTAGGCAGAAGTTCATTAATCCTTTTTTTTCCTCTTTAGAAAACAAACTGTTAAATGCAGGATATATTTAAATTGTTTGTGTTACCTTATGACTGTCTTTAATTTCTACCTATTTCAAGTGTGTTATAATCTCTGCCTATAATTCTTGCAATTTGTGTTCAACTCCTTCTCTAATCTAGGCATTTCCTATTTTATCAGATATCTCGTCCTGTAGAAGAAGTAGCATTTTGCCACATCTGTGCAACGTAAATTTCAGCATGAAAGATTAGGAAAATGAAGTGAGGATAGTGTTGAAGTAGTTACCAGCTTTGTATGCCCAAGCCACTTAATCTCTGGCATTTCCGGAAATAAAAAAGGAGAAAGTTCTTAACTTTTCAGCTGATAATGGAAGGATTTAATTTTGACTGAGATCTGCAGTCCTTTGGCAAATCATGAACTACAATTGCTGTTGTATCAGATTGAGCCAAAAGTAGTAGTATTAATCGTTTAGGTTAATATTCTAGCCATACCTGTTAGCACGGAAATGGGAAACAGATATTTTAACTTTCATGCTACAGTTCTTGAAATGTAATATAATACTGAGATATTTTCCTTTACTATGATGGAAACAGACATTTTGGTGATGATACTGCTTTTCAAATTGCCATTGGCAACATTGATATCGAAACAATGGAACAAATTGATAATTATAACCCTGACACTGCACAGGTAACATCTTTGTTCTGAAGTTTATTTTTCATGGCGTTTGACTTTAATGTTTGTTTTAGTTTTACTTTCAGACTTTTTTGGTAAATCCTTAATGCTATTGAGAGAATTAAGTGATTTAAAAAAAAAATTCTCAAAGAGATTTGGATTTCTTCCAAGTATACTCCTAAATTATGTTCTCTGAATAGAAATAAAACTTAAACTTTCAATTTTGTCACAGAGAAGCAGATAATCACTTGTGCCGTATTGAAATGAAGTCATGGCAGCACAAAAAAAAGGAATTTGTATAAAAAGTGTGAGAAATGTGAGAACAAAAATGAAAATGCTTGTGTTAAGTATGTCACTAGATGTACAAATGTTAAAATGTCCTTGTATACTAAATCATGAAATCATATGTTGAAGGCAATTATAAACCTGTGTCCTGTGTTTTAACTTTTTTTTTTTTTGTAGCTTGTGCAGCAGAGAAGTTGCGGCTGGAATGACAAACGTGATAATCGTGCAAATAGCATTTGGAGCAGAGAATACAAGTTTGGCCCTACTGAAGATACTGTTCCTCCTAAAATGCACTTACTAGACAAACCAACAACCAAAGGCATGGAGAAAATAATTAGCATTAAAGGGCTAAAACTTCCAGGCAAAGAGGTCTTGGCAAAAAGGTCAAGGAATGGTATGTTTTTATTAAATAATTATGTGAATAACAGTAGAAGGCTGTGGGAAAAGAAAGGATCTTATCTTGAACTTGATGGTATGCTATTTTTAAAGGCTTAACTCCTAACTGTTATTGTCTGTATTCTGTTTTCAACGAGCTACAAAACTCAGAAGCCATAATATTAAAGCCTAGATAATGATCAAGGGTGATGGCCAACTTTCCACAGCACTTGATTTTAACTTTCTTTAATTTGCTATAAAGCTTAAGTGTTGTCAATGTGAAGTTATGGTTAATGCAATCTGTTCATTTTTATGTATTTTTTTGTTTTAATTTCTATCTCATAATGGCTTGTGAAGAGATTAAAACATTGTGTTTATTGATAGAATATATAGAATTGATATTAGGTTGGATAGGAAACTTTAAGAATGTTTTCCATACTCTTCTCACACTGTGTTGCCTGTATCCCTTGTATAGGTATTCTTTATGCCAACTTCTTCGCTTTCTCTAGTGTATCTCTGCTATCTTGTCCTCTGTTTCACCTAACTTATGTGTGCTGAAATAAACTGTGGGCTTTTAATAGAAGGGGCGTTTTTTTGTTCCCGTCATGCTTTAATTAATGTGTTAAGTATTTCGTCTTACTCTGCTTTCTTTGCTTTCTGATTACACTTCTAGGGCTTTATATTTGGCCTTTGTTACTTATGCTATCTTCCTACTCTCTCATTTATCAAAACTTGTAGGTAGTTTAGTGGCCTGTCTTTAAATCAAATTTAGTTTTGCTTTCAAAGCATTAAAAAACTCCAAAAAACAACAACAACAGAAAACCACTCACCATATCCAAAACAAATATTATGTTTCATTTTAGTTGTTCTGCCTTCACTCCATCTGCAAAAAATTATTTTTAAGGCTATATATTAGAAAAAAATGTTTTAAAGGCTTTTTAATTGTAATGTCAATAATGTTCCTACTAAACCTTTCTACTATTTTTAATATGTAAAAGTTATTTCATCACTGTTTAAATGCGGTATTGTGCTTCTACAATAATGTTTAAATTGTCTAGATTTAGAAGAAGTCTCAGATGGAGATCTGTTCAAGCAATATTCATTTACAAAAGCAAAAAGAGTCAAGAAGGAGGATGATCATGATGGTCAAGCACAAAAGAGTGTGTCTGCAATACAAAGCCTTGATTCTTCAGGAAATTCTGTCACTCAAGAAAGCTCTAACTCCCTACCCAGAGTTAGAAATAAATTTGCTTCCTTTTTACAAAGGAAAAACAAAGACAAGGATGCTGTAACTGTTCCAGGAACAAGAAGCAGGTATGCTTATGTTATATGTTTTCATAAGTAGCAAAATACCATTTGCTATCCTGGTTGCTGAAATAACCTGAATACTAAGGGAAATGCTGCCTCAAACTTTTTTATGTAATTGCATGCACCTGAGCCAAGATGGAGGATCCTTTGTGCTAGGCAGGCTGTCCATCTGTGAGACAGATAATGGTAATTTTTTACTGTGGAAGTAAAGATTGAGACTATGTGTAGAGTCATAGAATCATGGAATGGTTTGGGTTGGAATGGACCTTGAAGATCATCTAGTTCCACTGCCCTGCCATGGGCAGGGACACCTTTCATTAGACCAGGTTACTCAGAGCTCTATCCAACCTGGTCTTGAACATTTCCAGGGATGGGGCATCCACAACTTCTCTGGGTGATCTGTTCCAGTGCCTCACCAGACTCATAGTGAAGAATTTCTTCCTAATATTTAATCTAAATCTGCCTCCTTTCAGTTTGAAGCCTTTGTCCTATCACTACATGCCCTTGTGAAGAGTCCCTCTCCAGCTCTTTTGTAGGCTACCCTGTAGGTAATGGAAGGTGCTATAAGGTATCCCTGAAGCCTTCTCCAGGCTGAACAACCCCATCTCTCTCAGCCTGTTCTTACATGAGAGGTGGTCCAGCCTTGTGGTCTGCTTATAGTCTCTCAGTATAATATTCAATACTTCTGGGTCACAAAATTAATTAGGAACTGGCCATTTTTTTCCCCAGGTAAAGGTTATATGACATATCTAAAAAAAAAAAAAAAGAAAAAAAAAAAGGTAGCTGCTTTGTGCCAAATATATAAGCAGTTAGTCAATACATTGACTTAATTTGATAGAGCTCTTTGTTTCGGTCAATTCAAACTGGTCATATTGAATAACAAATACCTATTCTTATCCCATTCAGATGATATTGCTGATCTCTGCACCAGCACTTTGAGAAGAGAGACTTTGGGTTTGTTAGGATTTCTGGTTGTTTTTTCTTGTTTTTTTTTTTTTTTATTTAGTTGCATTTGGCCACAGCTCCTTGAATTTGTTTTACAAAGCACTATTACCATTAAGTCCATTATTGTGTGATTATTTTCTTAAATACTTTGAATGTTTTAGAGTAGTGTAATTTTACAGAGCAATCCTAATACTGATGTTCTTTAGTTGTAATGTACACCTTCCTGAGCTGAAAGTTTTGTTATGTTGTATCAAATACTAAGAGTTGTCAGTGATGGTAGATTCTTCTCTAAATCTGTTCTTAGTACTCTTAGGAGCTGCTGCTATAGCATGGAAAAGAAGTAGTAAGGTTCTAGTTTCCTTAATAAGAGGTGCCTGAAGTATTTCACTACTGCTTACCTTTATGATAAATAATTAATATATTCTTAAATTTTGTAGGATTCCTATATGTATCTGATGAACCTAATTAGTATTTCAGTCAAAGAATTACATGTTTACAGATACTTTTTCCCCTCCCTTTTTTTACTGTTATTTGTTAAATGCCTCCCTGAAGGACTTTGCCCATTGTCTGCAAGTAGACCTTGAAAATAAAATTGATGGCTAGAGACAGCTATTGGATTTTGGAGATGACATACATTTGCAGTAAATTTCTTCTCCCCTGCCCTTACCTTTTTGTTTCTTTTTTAGGTTTTTCTGCAAGGATGCAATTGTGTTTGATGATGGAGCAAAGAAAGATGATGATCTAACTCAAAATGCTGAGCAGGATTGCCAGAAACAGGAAATAAAATATATACAAGAAGATGTTTCTCAGTTTTCAGAAGCTGAAAAGTCTACAAGGACTGTCTTTACACCTCCTGGAGAAAAGCAGAAAAGTTGTTTCCAGTGGTTTAGCAACCTCGTAAGTAATTCAGGAAACCCTGGTCCATCTCATACTGTATTTTCACAGCAGTTTCACCAGGAGAAAAGCGGTTGTGTTGTATCCCAGGAAGATCATATTAATGGAGTTCAAACAGAGAATGAGGCAGTGTGTGATGAATTGGAGGAAGAGTCCTCCCCCTTAATAGAACTGGAACAGTCATCACAGTCTTGTGAGCCATCAGAACATAGTTTGGAGTCTTCAGAGATATTGCAAGTGTCCAACAACAGTTCAGATGCAAAGGTAAGAAAATTAGACATTTGTTTTAGCATTTGGTTTTGCTTTAAATTATAAAAGAAATTATGTAATTAAGTCTTCTCTTCAGAGTGATGCCTTACAGATGATGTAGCTTGTGCTAACAAAACTTGTTTCTAAAAAGAATCACAGAATGATTATATTTCATTCTTGTCAATGCTCAAAATATTTGTAACATCATGTGGATTGACATACTAGCTTAAATAAAGTCTATTCTCTGGTTTTAGTTTGTCTTCAGTTTTTCTGCTGCTATTACTACAGTGGGTCATAAAAAACCCTGGTAGGCAAGCTTTTGTTCTCTGCTTTTGTTAATCCCTGAAGTCCTTTCAGAAAGTATATATATTTGTCACTGTAGTGTTGTTTGCTGAAAATAAGCCCAGGTGTTTGTGTAAGTTCTTAGAACTACTGAAAAGGCTGTCTTTTAAAGTATATACCTGTAGATATGAAAATATGTACTGTGTTTGCAAAAAAAAACCTCCAGCCTGTTTTAAAACCAAATCAATTTTCTCCTGAAGGAATCTGACTCCAGTTCAAAACTGGCTGATGATAAACATACTCCGTCTCTGGCATTTTCTGCTGTTCGAACTGACAAAAAAAATACAATCATGAAAACTAAGGTAAGAGTTCTTTTAACTTTATGAGCTTTACTAAAATCTGAAAATGAGTTATTGCTTTCTACTAGTTCCTTGTGGAACTCTTAATGAAAGACCTGAGCAATGCAAGTGTTGGCAAGACAAAACTGTATTCTTATTCATCTACACTGAAGCTGAGATGAAATATAACCAGGCCACCTATGATTGATAACAGTTGCAATTTGTTTGGGGATTTCAAACACTCCAATATAAAATAAGAAGCCAAGCTAAGGCAAAAAAAAACCTTAGTTGTCCTCAGGCAGGCAAAGTGCACGGTTTTATGATACAAATTTCAGTTGTGTTCACAGTCCAGATACAGTTACAAGATACAACCTCATTTCATTGCTTGTCTTGATAAATTTGCTATTTAGCTACCTCCTGCTTTTTTGAGAACGTTTTTAAATTTCAAAATCTGGAAAGATTTTTGTCGACACTTCTCGTTCAACTGTTTTAGCTAAAAGTCTTGTTAGCCACTAACAAATTAGACAATTTCCCTTCAAAGCCCACACTGCAGCTATTTTTTCTGTTGGCTGCTGACCTGTAATTTGACTTATCTGTGGTATCTAAGATGTTTGAGAATAAACTTATGTTCCTTGTCTTTGTGACGTTTCTAAGAGCTTTACACATTTGTCTAGTTTGTAAAACTTCTAAGACTTTAACAGCTGAAAGTGCTCTGACTCCTTATGTGTTGTCATTAGAATTGGCCAAAAGATAAGTCAGAGGAAGATGGTTTCATCGTTTCATGCATAGCCTAACTGACTTCTTTCTCATAGACAGTCTAAAAATCACAAGCTTATGTGCCAAACAAGAATATTGTGTTCTGTAAAATAGTGACATCTTGTGGTTATTTTTAGGAACTTATTTGTTAAGATGAAATTTATATTTTTATTCTGCAATGTTAACATTTTTCCTGCTTCTCCTCTACAAGACTGAGCAATGAAATCATCCTGGGATTCAGGATTTTATATACTTTGTTTTTGAGGCTGTATTTAATGTTCCACTTTGTTTTGCTCACATAAAAGTTACATTGGGAGAATGAATGTACTAAATATTGGGGAATACACATTATGGAAGTATCATGTGAAAACAAAATTTCAGTATACTTGGAGCCCTTCAGGTAATAGAAAATCTGCTGAAAATCTGCAAGGATAGTAAGGTTTATGTAAAGCAAGCAGCTAGTGGGAGGATTTCCCCCACTTATTTCCTTGGCTGTGCATTCTGTTTGCTTCCTTTATGTGCTGGTAATAAAACTTATAAAGAATTGCACCAGAAAATTGGCATGGCCGAAAACTTAACTTGACAGCAATAATCAAAAGGTCAATCATATTGGAACTTGGGCCCACCCAGACTATTGGATTCCTCTGAGTTGTAGCACGAGTAGGACCACAGGAGAGGGAAGGTAGAGATAAAGAGCACCACTTTTGGCTCAGTTTTCTTTTAGGTCTGCTCACTGCAAGGGTAAAACAAGGGAAGTGTTTGCTGGTGCTAAGTATAGTAGAAGATAGCTATAAAAGGGAATAATGAGTTCCAAATTTAGGAAAGAAGCAGTTAATCACTTAAAGTATAATTTAGTCTGATTTTGGTATAGCTGGATATCAGCTTTGTAGCTGATCTATAGAGAAATTTAAAAACTGGGGGAGACAGTCTGAAAAATTTGTCAGCTCCTATTGTGGTTCAAATCCAAAATGTGAAGTGCCTATCTACTCCATTCTAATATCAAACATAATAGAAACTCTTTACTAACAAATACCTGTAAGATACTGAATTCCCCAAGACTTCGTGGTTTATTTTTTCTGAGGTAGTATTTCATCTGTGGTTTATATTGCTAATTACTTTTTACAGTTGCTGTGAGCTCAGCAAAAAGGCTAATATTGACATAGAAATAGAAAATAGAAATATTGACAGAAATAGAAAAGAGTGTTCTGCTCTGGCTTTGAGGTTCTTCGTGGGTGTTCAGCATGCAGCTTTGCCTAATTTTGGGGTTGCTAAATTAAGTTATAACTCTGTAATTCAGTACTACAGAGATAATGTAGGGTTATGGGTGAATTCACACATGTTGCAAAATGGCTAAGATGATAGATAAATGGCAAAATACTGTAAAGCAGGGAGTTTTAGGATTTTATTTTTCCTAGTATTCTTGTTCCAATTATTAGCTTACATTTTGTTTTCCCCTTGGAATACCAAGATCTGCATGATATGAACATGTAATTTCAATAATGGAATAATAGAATCATTAAGGTTGGAAAAGACCTCGATGGTCAAGTCTAGCTTGTCAGCCCAGCACTACCATGCTCACCATTGAGCCACATCCAGAAGTGCCATATCTACATGATTTTTGAACACCTCCAGGGATGAGGATTCTAGCACTTCCCTGGGCAATCTGTTCCAACCCTTTCTGTGGAGAAATTTTTCCTAATATCCAATCTAAACCTCCCCTAGTGCAACTTGAGGCCATTTCCCTGTGTCCTATCACTTGTTACATGGGAGAACAGCCCCCACCAGGCTACAGTCTCCTTTCAGGGAGTTGTAGAGACTGATAAGGTCTCCCCTGAGCCTCCTTTTCCCCAACCTAAACAACCCCAGCTCCCTTAGCCTGCTCCTTACAAGGCTTGTGCTCCACACCCTTTCACCAGCTCCGCTGCTCTTCTCTGCACACTCTCCAGCACCTCAGTGTCCTTCTTGTAGGGAGGGGACCAAAACTGAAGGCAGTATTCAAGGTGCCAAAAAATATGTAACAAATGCGTCTGGTGGGGGGATGGCAAAATTCAATGTCATTTTGGAAAGCACTAAGTTACAAGTTTTCTATGAAGAAAAGGCTGCCAACCTCTTTTATTTTAAAATACAGAAATGTTAGGTAGTCAATAGCAAATACTTAGATGAGGAAAGAGCTATTTGCATTAGTTAGTGAAGCACCTGAAGTAGGCAGAGCTGTGCCATTTTCTAAAGATAATCCAGCAAAACAGGAAAGATTATTTTCAGCAAAACACTTTATTCTTAATATTATCCAAATGGTAAATAAGAGCATTATTTACAACCTAGGTGTCCTTTACTAATCTTCTGTAGCCAACTGTAAAATAGGAACTTCTTACAACTGTAGACACTCACTGTCTCTTCTGCAGGTATTGAGTTTTGATAATTATGTTTTGGCCCTAATAATGACAGACACAATCTAAAATAGCAGGCTGGAAGTGAGTGATCACTTCAAAGCTGGGAATTGTGAGTACTTCATATTTTACAATGAGGTGCCAGAATGGCACTCAAACAGTGAAACATTGTAGTGCTTCCAAATGGCTACTTCCCCCCTCAAAAAAGGGGGAAAATGATATGTGTATGTAAGACAGAAAAAAAATTATGGAAAAGATGAATAAACCACTTGTAATGTTTTGCCACTTATGAACTTGTCTGGCAAAGGAAGTTTCAACTATGTCTAAAAGTACATTATATCTCTTTAATTATTGTGCTATGAATATGCACATACAGTACAAATAGGAAGAGAGTGCTCAAATAGATAGCAATAGGCGTAACTTTGAATTTAAGACGTATGGTAAGCTTTTCACAGAAAAAAATCCTACTTTAGTGGACTGTCGTCTGTTTCTTCTGTTCTTAAAATAAACTCAGTACTTTTTGGCATGAAGGAAACAAAAATGATCAACAATGTTGTTTCAGCATCAGAAAGTATGGTAGCAGCAGTCTGAGTAGCTGTCTGTCAGCCTGACACTGACCCAAGAAAAATGATGAGAATGTGAAAGTCACACTGGCTGACACAATTATAGGAATTAAGTCATGTCAAAATGATTTTCATGTCCTTACAAATACAAAAAAAACCCTCAACCAACCAGATTCATTGCTTGGAATCTGTTAAGTGAATTGAAAATGAGGCACGAGTGTTTTCAATAATGGGGTGGTGGGCAGCTAGAATAAATTATATAATGAAGCCATGTACTTTAATTGATATGTTCAAACTTAAGACTGGTTGCATTTAAGAGAGATATTCTGGCCAAGCAGTTTTTCTGAGCTTCTGGGACAGAAACTGGATAAGAAGGTCCAACTAGTGGTCTAATGATGCTTGGGATAATCGTACTGTTACCTGTCCTCTGCTTATGACTCCATTTTTCATGAAATCTGGCTATCACAGGGAGTTATACCAGAGGGTTGCTTCTTCTTAAATTCTGAAAGCTGACATTACATGAGGGCACAACAAAAACTCTTCAAATAGGTGTAAAAAAAAAATATTCACCAGGTTTTAAAAACTGCTTTTCAAAGAAACATATATTTGCAACTTTTTAGAATACAAAGACCTAGGGAAACTGGTTTGCCAGTTCTAACAGCACATTATGTTTAATGTGTTTGAGATGCCACCTTTTAGATTATAGAAGCTATCTAAATATACTTTGTTGTGGCAGTTCGGATTGTTTTAAGACTCTTTATTTTTCGATTATAAGCTTTGCACTATAGTATTTGTTGCTTACAGGTTTTCATTTTAACCAAATGTGCTGCCATATTAAAATCTCTCAGGTTCCTGGTTTACATAAATCCAGTAGTACAAGGTCACGTATTGTAACGAAGCTCAAACCATGGATACCAGCTAAAGTAAGTGGATTAAGCAGGAAACTGTCACCTGTGCAGAAGAGAAATGACTGTGATGCTGAAAATAAGCTGGGACTGCAAGTTACTGTTAGTGAGCTCTGGAAAAGCTTCCAGTTTAAAAGGTGAGTTGCTTTAACCCTTTACTTTGTACCCTGTATACTATTTTTCCACATAAACAATTTTCAAAGCAGACTCCATACATGTCTATCCAGTTCAATAAAGATAATAGCTCAAAATAGATGTTTTCTACATATAATTTATAATTTCCTAAGCTTGATATAAATGCAAAGCATGACTTTTGGTAAATACCTTCTTAGAATTACTTTTTTTTTTCTAACCAGGAAAAACTCTCAGCTAAAATTAATTTGTTGAATTTTATTGATTAGGGCATTTAGTTTAACATAATTGATATAAAAATCATTGCCATTGTTTGACATCAAACATCAAAAGTCACTTCTTGATCTAAGTGCAAAAGCTGCATGGAAGTTACTAAATTTAATTGAATACAAGGTTGCTTCTGTTCAACTCTGTGCCTCTCATGTTTTAAGATGGCTAATTGTCAGAAGTGTTCTGCTTTCAAGATGACTGTGAATTGATGAAATATCTCTGTTAGCAGAAGTCTGTGGTTGGAAGAGACATTTTTGCACATCATAAAATGCTATTGCTTTTGCCTGTGCAGATGGCTGGTATAACTTGAAGTTTCTGCAAATATCTTCAAGGTTTGAACTTGAAGAGCAAGGATTATTTAAAATAAGTAAAACAGAACCTGAAGTGTAGGTATTCTAACTTACACTCTTTCCATGGCCTAAAGTAAAAACTGTTGGTGGCAAAGTTTTACCAGTTCAAAGTAGCAATCTCTTGAATAAATAAGTCATATTTAAATAAAATTATTATTTTTGCTAATCCAAAACCAAATGTGAGTAGGATAAAGGTTGTTTTTTTTTTTTCACTGAGTGGTTAATAATGCTACTGGTGAGCAATGTGTTAAATCAGATGAATGCATTTTAGCAAATTTAGGCCTTAGGGTAGGTTACTATAAACACTCAACTGATTTCTGTTTGAAAAATATTACATGTAGTACTTACATTTTTATAAATCTTTATTATCCTCCTTATGCGGGGTAAGAATGACAGTTTCAAGGAGGAAATGGAAGTGTTTGTGTATGTATTGCTGGACCTGTAATTGTAAATGTCATCCCAGGGTTGTTCACAGGGAGAAAATTCAGATATTTTGATTTATCAGGATACAGGTAGATAGAACAGGGTGAGCCTAGATGGGACTCTGTTCCTTTTCTCTGCCGGTGGTTGCAAGACAAGTCTCCCAATATCCACATTTTATCCATCCAGTTTTGGTTTTGTTTGTCACTTCTAGGTGTTTATAATGGGTCTGTATTATAAATGGGGTATATATTATATGTGGGATATATCCCCATAAATATATATATATATATATATTTATTACTTCTGGGTACGTAAAGTACTTTTTTATTAGCTTTTATGTGATTCTTTTCTTAACATATTTCACAAAAATGGCTTTTTTACTGCCAGGACTTACTTATATCTGAGTATTTTCTTTATTTTTTCAGATTTTGAAATGTATCTAAATTAGCCTTATGTTTTCATAATTATGTTACCTGATGGCAAATAAATCATGTGGGGCACTAAATCTGTTCTGGCTTACTGTCAAGACTCATGGGATATATAAAAAACTTCATTTATTCAGAAGACTTAAATGTTCAGAAAGCATGTACAACCCAGAGTAGGATGGGGTACATACAGTCTTTCAGAAATAAAGCTAACAGCTATCATTCTGTCACATTCAGTAAAGTTTTTCATTTTTTCTGAAATTGAAATTAAAACTTTGTGTCACAAATTTTTATTTTGTACTTATTCATAGATGAGTGAGTTGTTAGGGGTCTTGTTTTGTTTTAACTTATATATTCTTACTGGCCTGTGGTTAGAAACATAAAACATCATAACATTCTTGGGTTTTCTTTTGTCTTTGTTTTTTTTTTGTGCAGAGAGTACGAAAAACTTCCTTCGTGTAGAAAGTCAGATCCTTTATCTCCAATCAAAGATAATATACAGCTCACTCCAGAAACAGAAGAGGAAATCTTTAATCACCTGGAACATAGTCATGTTCAGAGAGCTATATTCCAATGAACTGCATGCTCTTCACAATGGGATGGATTTTTAATCATTGTCAAAATTTACCTTGTGGATATTTCATCAATATAGAAAAGGTGCTTTGTAAACCAGCTATATATTTTAGTCTGACTATTGATTTATCATCTCTTTTATAAAAGCGTGAATTGAAAGGTACAGTTCTATATTGACTGGAATAAAATAATTCAGATTCCCATGTTCTCTTACGCAGAATCCTTTTGTCAAATTTTTGTCCAAACATTTTCTCTGTTGCCCCTGGGCATTTTATGTAGGTCACATGTGCAATCCAAGTGCCTACAATAGCTACAATTTTGCCTTTGCACAACAGCATCAAAACAAGTATGTGTCCTAATTCTTAATAATGACTCATTTTTGCCTCTTCCTTCTTTTCTCTTGAGCCTAATCTGGCTTCAAGACAGGTTTAAAACTGCTCTTCAGTGTCCATAAGAGTCTGCCATATACTTCTAGCACTGATAACTATTTTTTTCCCAAAAGGTAAGATTTGCTCTCTGAACAGTTACCTTTCTGTTTGATACAGTCATGTTGTTAGTGGGAATAACTTGTGGACTGCAGAAAGGAATATCACAAATATCTGCTCCCCAAATTCTCACATTAATAGAATGATATCCAGAAATGTATAGTGTGTTCCTCTGTTTTACCTGCTTTTTCCATATTTGTATTCTTCAACAATGACAAGACACCCAAAATTCCAGTTCTCAGAGAAAGGGTTGCAAGATAGCATTGTCATCACAACTGGCCAAGCTAAAGAATCCAGAAACTAGGGTCCTTGCTATGTTTGACTGAATTACCATGAAATAGTATGATGGAATTTCAGATTTCTACCTTTAAAATCAGAATTTGAGTTCAGTGTAAACATATGTCTGTGTTTTGGTTTTTTGTTTTTGTTTTTTGTTTGTCTGTTTGTTTGTTTTGAATGAATAATATTTCTTTCTGTAGCAGAAGAAGGTGTAAAAGGATATCTTGCCCGGTGAAATGTATCCTTGCCATTTCTGAGATAATACTTTCCCTTTCCCTCTGAATTTTTAGTGAGAATTTAGAGTTTGATATTGACCTGTGAGGGGGCAGGGGTTTTTTTAAATTGCAGTGTACTTTTTTTCCTCTTTAAGAGAATTTGCATCTATTAAACTAAGGTGGCCAGCTGCATTAAATTACAACGAAGCTGCTTAAAAGAGTAGGCTATGTAAGCTCAGTCTCTTATTTCTACAGTGGCATTGAAGGTATGGGATACAAGGAATTGAAGCAATGACGCTCTAGGACAGACATTCTCTTGTTTGTGCATCACTAGAAAATCCTTACTCCTGAAGCACTGTTTTTAATGTTGATCTTCAGTGATAATTATCTCTGGTGTGAGGTTGCAAACGTAGGCCAGGGATAAATGTTTCTGTGTTTCCAATCACAGAATTCCTGCTGAGAATGAATTTTTGTATTCCTAAAATATAATAAAAATGACAGAATGAGTCTTTAAGGGAAAACATTAAAAATAATTTGTTTTCATCCATTGTTTATTTATCCATGTGGGAGTTGCAAGGTTATTTTGTACAGTGCATCCTTAGCTGTTTCCTGCCTTTTCAGTCAAAGGGCCACTTTTTCCTGCTTTAGTGGATCATCATAAGAGACAAACTACTCAGATATTCTCAAGGACAGGTAATTTTAAGGAAATATCTTACGTGCAAGCTACATTGTATGGTCTTAAAGTAGATTTCTTAAAAATACTGTATAATTTCTGATATGTGCTTTGGGGGTCTTGGGTACTGACTTGACATTATAAGGGATTCTTTTCAGGAATAGAGGCATCTGTTACATTACAAGGAAACATGTAATGCATGTAAGCATATAATAGCATGTAAGTTTTGTTTTTTTAATGTGGAGTTCTTGAGTTGGTATTTGCTCTATGAAAGGTACAAGAACAGAAATGCAACTTTGTTCCTGAATTAAATAGGCTAGGGTAATACTCCATAGTAAAAATTAGTATCAAAATAGGAGAAATTACAGGTTATGATGCCATGGGGAAGATAAAATAAAACTTACCACAAAAAAAGGAAAAAAAAAGAAAAAACTTGAAATAGGGAGAGTTTAGCGATATTAAAAAGGCAGGCATTTGAAAGCTGAGTAGTTGAAAAACAAGAAATGAGTAGGAGGAAATGAAAGCACATGGCAACTTGGAGGCATATGTCTTTGTGTGTTGTTTGCTTTTTAATCTAATATAAAATACTAAAAATACTTTTTTACTTTCTATAATTAATACTTTATTTTATCAGCAGGATTTCAAGGTATATTAACAAAATGGATGGCCTTGCTCTACCCTATTAAAGGGGTGCATCTGGCCCAGAAAAACTGAATTTACTAACGGTGGTTTAATCAAGCTTCACTTTTGAAAGTGCTGACTGGCCATTCCTTCTTCAGAATGGTCATGTGAACTATAAATATTCAGTATCACAGAATTAATGAGAGTCATGATCATTGAAATCAAGTAATGGTTTTTAATGGCAGGTAAGACATTTGTCTAAATTCAGCCGAGTCTCTCTACTTAAATCTTTCTGTTCTATTTACAGCAGTTGGTGTTAAGCACATGTTCCGTCTCACACAAATCAATACATTAGTTAGAGTCATTTTTATAGGACTGAAGAATATTGAAAGAACATAAGGCTTTACAAACAGATTGTAAAAACAGCCATTACATTTAAATGATAGTATTTTAAGAGAATTTGCAATACTGTGTTTGTGATGGTTGTTCTTTAAGGGTACTTACTTTAAACTTTTTTGCACTCCAGTGATATTTTTATCATCTGTGATCACTTCTTAAAATTAAATTTTCAGGTTCACTTTAGACTGCAGAATAATGTTCTGTAGTGAATGAGTTACTGCCTCATTTGGTGTAGGACCTTCTTCTTTGTCTTCATTGCTGAAATCAGCTTATGCATCCTAAAACGCACTATCTGAGAACTCTTCTCTGTGGAAAGTGAGATTACACATTTTTTTCCTTCATGTAGGAGACTGTAGGAAACATTAGGTCAGTAGGACAAAAATGCTTCTCAGGGAAACTTGTCCTGTGTCAAGGATTAGTTTCTGTTCCAATAGCTCTCATTCTCCAGAGACTCCTGTGCTCCAAGCAAAATCTTATTTAACAGATGTAAAATTCTGGATTTGGAACATGGCATATACCTGTGTGAGGTTCTGTTTTGGAAAGGATTCTTTAATGGCTTTGAAATACTTGTGTTTAGTGTTCCAAATATACATATGACCTGGAGCAAAGCACTCTAAATGTTTGAGATATAGTGTACCAATGTATACAGACAAGTTTAGGAAATTAAAAGTGTTTTTTTTCCAGTACTTCAAAAACAATAGAAGTTAATATGAACTACTCTACAGCCTGCATCAAACAGGAATTTAGGGTGTTGTTAAGCTGATTTCAAGTCCAATATCTCAGGGAGCACCAGAGTTTGTATTTTAGAACACATCCTGTTTAAGCACTTGCAGTGAAGGAGAAATCATTACAACACTTGTAACAGCAAAGTGCTCAATTGATGGATTTGTTTTTTAGGTTTTTGAGTCTAGCTTGTTGTTCATCCATTGGCTTGGGTTTTTATCTGCTGTATTAAAGGAGGTCAGTTCAGTGACATTTATCTTGCAGCCACCTCAAATCAAGGGAGTGACTAAGTGTGTTTCTTCCAAGCCTATACTAATTGAATCTAATTATTTTATTGTTTTTTCCAAAATTATTACCTTTCATCATTAACTATTTCAGTTGGTACTCAGTAGAATTCAATATGAAACCCTCGAGTGACAGAGGTTCTGGAAATAATAGTCGGTAGCTGTAGTACTAAGAGGGGTAGGGATGTTGTGTCAGGGGGTATGGAGAGTGTTTGTTTTAATTGGTTAGCATTTGTTTCTTTAAGATAAAAGTATTTATCTTGGAAGTAACAGAAAAAAAACTTGTGCAGCTTGCGCCTACTGTAAATGTATTTTTCCCAATTATTTACAAATGAGATTAATGAATCCATTAATCCATAATTAATCCATTTATTAATCCATGTAGTTTTACACAGATCATTAAACTTCTTGGCTGCCTACAGCAGAGAAGTTTCCTACTTTTTCATCTTTGAATTTTCAAACAGTAAAAAAAAAAGATTTTGTTACCACACTATTACTAATTAGCACTCTCCAATCAATAATTTTAAAATTCTCTTAAGTGAAAGGAAGGCAAAGAATTGGATTGCTCTTGAAAATGCATGTGATGTTATTTTAACAAAGCTCTTAAACTCAAGACTAGTGAGAATGCTTCCTAGAAACTTGAAGAAGAAAGTATGTTCCTACAGTGCTTGCAGTTGTGTTACAGCATTATGATAGTATTTTTTTAAGAAATAATTACCCTCCCTACTCCCTGTATTTGAAAAGCCTTCTTGTTTTAAAGGAAGGATGTATGCAAAAGCTTTTTTTATATATACTCTATGGAGTGAGAGAATTGAAAGTAAACAAAATAGATGACATCTTAACAATATTTCATAGTTAGTTAACCAAGTTACCAAAAGTAGCATTGGCTAGGGCAGTTTTCAAGTGTTTGCTCCAGATGTTCACTGCTTCTCTTCAAGCTGGATAAATTGGAACAGGACCGTACACCAGCATATAGAAGTGGCTCATGTCTGTAGAAGCCTATTGAAATTCCTATTTTGGTGCTGTCATCTGTCACCTTGGGCAAACTTCTCCATTTCCCACACTTCATTTTATGTTTCTCATGCTTCGCTTTGCAGTTTGTGTAATGAGAATAAAAAATGTTCTAGTCCTACTCTACGGATAAATCTGCAGAGATTTTGAGAGTCTTTGTATCTAGAGACAGAGGCAAAGAATTTGAGGCATATCCTACCTTCATTATGTGTTTGTAACTCTTAATATGGAGCCTAAATTTGTTGCCCAAAAGTTACCCTGTTTTGAACTACAATGAAGTGTTATTCTGGTAGGTGATTTATCCTTGTTTATACTACAAGCAACTGAGTAGAAGAGATGCAAAAAGTGGAATTAAAATTGTCCTTATCTGCACAATTTTTCTAATTTATCTAGCTGAAAGAGAAGCTGCAAGATCAAATTGGTAGAGTGTCAGTTCAGGACTAATTAAAAGGAAAAAAAAACCACAATTACAAGTTAGACATTTAGTGAAGTGATTATCTGCTGCTTGAGGTAAGTATACTAA